TCAATGGAAATTTCTTCCCCTAGCTGTTTTGAAATATATATTATGTTATATTAGCTATCATCACTCCACTGTGTAGTGGAGCACAGAACTTCTTCCTCCTAATTGCAACTTTGAAGTCACTGACTATTCTCTCATCACATGCCCCTTCCCTTCCTTAGTCTTTGATGACCTCTTTATTCTATTCTCTATTTCGATGAAAACAGCTTTTTTAGATTCTACATTGGAGTGAGATTTCAGTCTTTTTGTTCCTGGTTTATTTTAGTTAATGTTCTCCAGTTTCATCTGTGTTGTCAGAAACAGCAAAATTTCAGCAGGGCATTATTGCACACACCTTTAATCCCAGCACTTGGGAAGCAGAGGCAGGCGGATCTCTGTGTGTTCAAGGCCAGCCTGGTCTACATAGTGAGTTCCAGCTGGGGCTACAGGGAGACCCTGTCTCAAAAGAATAAAAAAAAAGACAAATAGGAAAATTTCATCCTTTTTTATGCCTGAAGATTAACTGTAAGCCAGGCATGGTGGTACAGGTCTGTGATCCTAGTACTTGGGAAGTAGAGGCAGGAGGATCAGGAATTCCAGACCATCCTGAGCTAGATAAGTCTTAAAAGCAAAAACAACAACAGAAAAGGAGTATTCAGTTGTGTATATGTACTGCACTTTCTCTGTTCATTTGTCTGTTGATGCCTTCTTAGGTTGAGGAATCTTATTACTGTATAAAAAATGATAATTTGCTGTCCTGCTTAAACTGGATTGCGAGCCCACCATTGATGTCAGAATGGAGACTTTTAACCATGATGGTATCTTGACTTGAGGGTCTCTGGGCAGAAAGGTTGGAAGAAGACTGGCATGGGCAGGTCTTCCAAGTGTGGTGGACACCAAGCTGGGATGGGCTCTGTGTTCCTGGTATTCTATATGTGAAGTCTATGGCTTGGAGGACCTGATATGCTCACCTGGAATCCTGTGGTCACAGTGGATGTGCAGGACTCTGTCTCCACTGACCTTGATCTCTGCATGGCCCCGTGAAGAAGCCACTTACATGGACTCTCAAGTGCTTTACAAGTATCTCTTCTTTCAAGCTGGGTCAACAGTGCTCCAAAGTGTCCCCCAAAAGAGTCAAACCAGTTTTACTATTAAACAAGAACTAAAATAAGTCACATAAGCACCCCCTTCAAGAAATCACAAAAAAGATGTGGTGGCTTATGCCTGTAGTCCCAGCACAGATGAGACTGAGCAGAGCCGTAGGTTCTAGGGCAGCTTGGGCTGTACAGTGGTATGCTATCTCAACGAAAAAAACCCAAGAGTTGAGGGTGAGGCTCACAGGTGCTGGTCCCTCACAAGGCCCTGGGTCCAATCCCCAACACCGCAACAGACAAAACAAAGTAGTAGTCTAGTCCGGCTTAAAAACTTTAACTAAATGTGTTGGGGAAATGGTTCAATGGTTAAGAAATCTTGCTGCTCTTGCAAAAGACCCAGGTATCATGTCCCATCACCCACATGGCAGCTCACAAACCCCTGAATCTCCAGCTCCAGGGGATCTGATGCTTCTTCTGGCCTCTGTAGGCAACAGATACGCATGTTCTACATCTATTCATATAAGCAAAACCTCCAGGTACAATTTTTTGAAAGTAGATTTGTGTGTGTGTGAGCCACCACATGTGGACGTCAGATGACAAATCACAAGAGTCAGTTTCTTCCTGTACCATGTGGGTCTTGGGTATTGAATTCAGGTCTTCAGGCTTGCCAGCAAGCACCCTGTGCTGAGCCATCTCACTGTGCTCTGGATCTTAAAGGTGAGCTACTGATAAGGCTCTGAGTGCTTTCTAAAGATATATTTACTTGTTATAGAAATAAAACTTTTTCACTTACAAAATTTTTCTTACATTTATTTATTTATCTGTCTTGTGTATGTGTATGTATATGGGGGTGCTATGGTGTGTATGTGGAGGTCTCAGGACAACTTGTGGAAGTGGGTTCTCTCCTTCTACCTTTACATGGATTTAGACACTGACACAGCCTCTCCTGAATTTCTGTGTAATCACACTGTGTGGGTTGGTGCTATGTAGCCATTGACTGGCTACTGTTATCCTACACCTGCTTTCGTAATGTATCCGTATAGAGAACATTGATAAAGAAGTCTTCTCTAAAGGAATGAGAAATCAAAGCTAAGAAAGCAATGTTCCTTTTGGTCAGTTTGGTTGACTTACCACCATGGAATTGTTAGAGGCCAATTCCATTTGGTCACTTGGTGTGGGAGTCAGGTTAATTGGCTGTTAGACCCCTTTGTTTGCTTCCCCATTAGAGATGGTTAATCAGCATTTACCTTTGGTATAAAACTATTTTTTTTTTTTGGTGTTTTTGAGACAGGGTCTCCCTATAGCCACAGTTGGCCTGAATCTTGCTGTGGAGACCAGGTTGGCTGGCCTTGATCTCACAGAGATCCACCAGTCTCTGCCTCCCAAGCATGGGGAATTATAACTAATTATTCTGGGTTAGGTAACTAATTAAGATCATGCTGCTCATGATAAAGGCCAGCACCACCACGCCCTGATAAGCCAATTATTTTTGATGTTATAACTAATTATTCTGGGTTAGGTAACTAATTAAGATCATGCTGCTCATGTGGAAAAAAAGTGCATCTGTAGTTTTTTTCAGCATTGAGAATCAAACCCAGGGCCTTGCACATCCTTGGCAAGTACTCTGCCAAGTACTGAGTTGTATCTCCAGTTTACATGCATGAATTTTATAAGCATGCACTTAGTTTTCCAAATGCAGAAACTTTCCCTTAATTATAAAATTTCCTTAAAAGTAAGCTTGTTGGTCTTACCAAAAAGAAGCCCATAAACTTCAGAAACCTGAAACTGCTGTTAGTAATTACTCTTGTGTTAGTGTTAGTCAATAAAGTCAGACAAGAATGAAAAGACTACCAGCAGTAGAAAAGAAGAAATAAAATACAGTTTTTCACAAAATATGATTATATATTTAAAAATCAAAGCTTTATTATCCCCAAAATAATACATTCTTCAAAGCAACTGAATTTAAAAAAATCAATAAT